ACCCGAATCTTGCCTTTTCTCTTACTCTAACGCTAATATATACCTAAAAGCCAACAATGGCCACTTTTAAATTCTGTTCACAATGGTAAACTTACTCACATGGAAGATATATATGCTTATATGTATCACTGATATTTAACATGATCCAAATTCCACAGTAGTAACTTGCTATACCCAAGAGAAGATAAAGAAACTCAACGACTTTTATATGCATGTCGTAATTGCATTTATCAGGAAGAAACCAAGAATTATTGTGTTTATAGAAATGAAATTTCAAATGTTATTAGGTAACGATAAATTCTTTATACTGTAAATCATTAAATAGGAAAGATCAACTAAGCAAGTACATATACTAACCCCATTATTTATTTTCAAGTGAGAAAACAACGATAATTAAAGATTTGGCTGCTGATCCATCTTTGGCAAGTAAAATTACTTTTAAAACATTTCATTCTTCTTTTTTATTGTAATAAATTAACTCATTCTTGATACAAGACAGGCACGTACAGAAAAAACATGTTCTCAATGTGGATTTACTGTATCGGTATACTTTGAAGCACAATCTCGTCGTGCTGACACAAAAATGACATTATATTACGCTTGTGGAAATCTTAATTGCGGATATCGTTGGACAGATTTTGATAATGATAATACGGACTTTCATGCTATACAGGATGAGGAATATGATGACCAAGATTATCTGGGTAGAGAAGACTATGATGTATCTAACCAAATTGATGATCCAAATTATGAAGGTATTATGCAAGACATTTTCATATTATAATTGATCTTTCTCAATTTCTTATCTATCTTCCATATAGATCCGTCATATGCAACTGAAAATATAGAATCTGAAGCTATAGACACTAGTGCTGCTCAATACCAGCATAATCCTGAAGATTGGTAACATAAAAAATGGACATATAAAATTTTATTAATAATTCTTCTGAATTTTGAGATTTGAGACTTACTGGATATAAAAAAAAACGAAATTTTGATTGGACTATTAGGTAGCCTAGTTACATTAACAAATACTAATAATTTTTTTATTTTTTTAGCAATCCACTATGTTATAAGTTTACTAGTAAATTCATTATGCAAAGAGAATTATATAAATAGGCTCTGAACTTATCTTCACTATATCAAAGTTCATTATATTGAGATTTTACTACGTATAACAAGATTGGCCTATAAATAAAGCTATACTCAGATCGAAAGTATAAATCCATCTGACTTAGCAATTTAAATTTATAGATGATTTACCTTTTGCATCACTGCCCAAATTATTTGGTTTGTCTAGTCACATTAAATTACTTTCGTAATTTTTCTTGGCATTAGTATTACAAATAGAAGTTGAAAAAATTAATTATATAGTTGGTTAATTGATAAACTTTTAAGTGCCGAACTAATTGTTTAATCGATTAATCGATTAGTAAATTGGTTACAACTAATCAATTGAAGAATTATTGCGAATGGCTCGGCTCAGCTTGGCTCACGGATAACACTAATCAATCAGAACTGATCTTTCGGCTCAGCAAGCAGAGCTGAGCCGTTTACAAGCCGAGCCGAGCTGTGTAAAATATAGGCTTTCTCTTCAACTTTATGCAATTGAATTTATATAGTAAAAATTTTTTACAAAAATATAACCAACATTTATACTGTAGAAGGTTCTTCACAGACGAAGCTTTAAGTACTACTCTATGTAAGTATATTTCACTTATAGACAGTTTTTAAGTAGAAAATAGTATAGTAAAGCATAAACATTAAGGTTTCTATCAATTTACAGAAATTTCGAATAATTTTCTATATAAATGAAACGTTAAGTTTTTAAAGATGCTTGGATAAAGCTTTATTAAAGCAATTAAATAAATTGTTAATTCCATCAAAGTCACAATGCTAGGTAAGTTTATTATTGGCTAATAGTAATATGATATAACCCTATCAGCTTGCAGCTTCATGATCAGCTTCGAAGCTTTAGAGCTGTTAACCAGCTCAGTTTAGCAATTTGGCTCACAGCTTAGCTTGAGCTATTGTATCATTATGTAAATTTTGCAAATCAAAAAAAAAAAAAATCAATTAGTAATTTTTTTTTTTCTAGAAAAGCTGGTGACACTTTATTAAATTTGATTATAACTGCATACATAATTGTTGAAATATATTATAACCTATAATTAAAGTTTTGACATTTATTCAGCTGCTCTAATAGGTGTTTAAATATATTCTAGTTGGATCATTAGCATATTATAGTTAAAACTAATATTAGCAGTTAGGATATCAATCACTTCGGAAAACATTGTCTTAATTTATCTGTCAGTAGAGAAAATTAGACCTGTATCTAATACTACTGCAACCTGAAACTACTATATTTAGCTAAACTATATTCCTTATATCATCTACCTTTTTGCAACTATACAACTTTCAAATTGATAACATTCAGATCAGTGTTAATACAGGACAGCTTTGAACAAATTGTAGACAATTGTAGACAATTTTGAATAAAAAAACAAATCTAAATATTCAAAATTTTACTGTATTAAGTAGGGATTGGAACCGCCTAAAATTTTTCTTAATTGTTTAATTGTTTAATCGTTTAACTGTTTAATTTGGCCAGCATTAAGATAATTCCGGCCCACGACCAACGTAATTCTGTCTGGAATTATGGAACAATTTTTAAACGGTTAAATGGTTCCAATCCTTAGTATTAAGATAATCTATTTTAATCTTCTAAACAAAAATATTCAGAACTTCAAAAAATATATAATCATATTTTTTTTAAACACTATTAAAAAAGTTTTGGACATAGTAGATATGATAATACTAATTTAGATTATACAGTAGATCTTTATAATCTTTCAGTTTGGTGTGTTATATTATTGTTTTTTTTAAGATATTTTGATATTGGTCTAGAATCTACAAAAACTTATATTTTATACTGTCTAATTAGATTTATTATATAACAGAATTGGTATTTTATTGTCAAATATCATCTTTTACATTTTTGTTCAGATACTATTAACTTATATTTTAAGCTAGTTTTTGCTACTATAGCTTAACTACAGATATTTCAGATCTTAGCATTATATAGTTATTTAGTATTTTTTCTATTACAGATCCAAGTTTTAAATTTTAGAAACATTTCTGTAAGATATCAGTAAAATATTAGACACCAATTTATCTAATAGCTTATCGATATTTGATGTATATTTTCATCTATTAGTGGAATATTGGCTTCTGATAAGGTCAAACTTCTAATCTTTATTAATTCTTAAGTATTATACATTTTTCATATGTCTACTCTTAAACTAATTTTGAATATAAGACTTGACTATTTTATTTATGACCTAAACCTACTAGAATATTTTGTATCCCATTTATGTCTTTACTTGGTTTTTTAACCAATTCTAGTTATCTAACTGTATTCACTCCATGACTCACAATCAAATCTTAATAACTCCCAATTTGGTTTACTTGGATTATCGATTCCTAAAGACTTCTCAAATTAGTATGCCTGTAGCAAGGATAAAACCTATATCTACAAACTCTTCATATTCACCTTTTTACTAGTTCTTACCCCTATCTACAGATCTTAATATATGTCGCAGCTGATACTGGAAACGGCTGAAGCGGGAAATCAGGGACTCTGATTTAAAAATATAAACCCTGCCAAAATCCACTTATACTCTTTCATTATCAAAACTAACCCTAAATCCTAATCTAATCATTAAAAAAAAGCTAAAAAAATGCACCCAAAAAAATTTGAAAATTTCATATTAAAATATTTAAAATTTCCAGCTTCAGCCGTTTCCAGCTTCAGCCGCAACAATATATTTTTTGGTATTTCATATACTGCATATTTTTCTATTCCTTATATATTTTTTGTTATAGTATTCATTAAGAACTTGTTTCAAGACATATCTCTTTCAGCTATAAACTTTTGTTATATATATTCTATAACTTCCAGCTTGGAGTATCTCAACCTTGATTGATGTAGTATTCATACTGATAAATTTTTAATCCTATTCATTATAGATTTCTATATAGGTGTAACTAAAGCTTGATTTGGTTTTTTTAGTTATACAGAGACAGATTACACTTTTTACACTAAGTAATTTTTCTAAATGATTGTTCTGCAATATTAAAGGTGTTTTCAATTCTAGTTAGAGTATAATCCTTTACCACAGCCTATAGTTATGTATCACTGCTTCTTTTATTATTCCAGTTTTAATTACTGTTATATTATCCTTTCAAGCAAATACTCTACAAGTTGAATACAAAGATATTGATACTATCTTTAGATTACCTTAATCAAAAGACTAATTCATATGATCTTTATATAATTTAATCTTTTATAATATTGCATCATACATAGTACTTATGCTTTATAACCTGGTTACTTTCTAAGAACTTATTCTTGTTTTGTACTGCAACCGCACTTGGACTTTTTACAAAGCTTCATATTTGATTTAATAGCTCTTGTAGGTTACAGAAGCAAATTTTATTAAAATTTGCCTCCAGTTTGACTTGAACTATTAACCTAGTTTGTGGGGTTCTAAAACTTTTTTTCTTAATAAGTTAATCATTCTTGTGTATTAACTGAAAATTGTAGAGCTTGTCAAGACACATCTAACGGTGGTAAGATCATCCATATCGGCCCAGCTGATAGCGAGATATCGTCAAAAAACGATTGACCAACTATATAAAATCTCTATGTAAACAAACATTGTTTATATAGAGATTTTATATAGTCGGCCAATCATTTTTTGACGATATCTCACTATCGGCTGGGCCAATATGAATGATCTTACTACCGTTAGATGCGTCTTGA